TAGAGTAGTTGTAACTAGTAAATATTATTTCAATATTAAAAAGCCTGACACAGCACCTGACACAAAAGTAGCTATTCCTAGTAGTAGCTACTATTAACAGAGATATCACTTTCACAATGATAGTGATATTAGTGACAATATATTCCCTGTCTCTTAGTCAAAAGTGAATAAAAAAAGGACTTTTTTTGGTTGAAACCCCAAGGACAGGCCAGGTACAGGTCCAACCCTTCTTATCACAGCAGGAACCACAACTGTGGCAAAAGTAGCAGCCCATCCTAACAATCGCAGCACCACCAGATGTTCCCAGCAGAGGCCTCTGCGCTATCTGAGCTAGCACCTTCTAGGAAAAGGGGAGGCCTGGAAATACTCGAAAGTTGCTGTTCTCATGAGACAGTGAAGAAATGAATTCAGGCCACATGCCTGCCCCTTCCTAGACCTGCAGGAGTCCTCACTATACCCCTCTGAGCCTCAGTTTAATCTAGAAAATGAGGGTAACTGGTCCCCCACTTCACAGCTTGCTTTGAACACTGAATGAAACAACTCAAGTGAAAGTGCTTTGAAGCTACTTCTGTGTCCACGAAAAATAGTACTGATGTATTTAATAGCAGTCTCAATAAACTTAACAATAAAAAATGCTGAAATACTGGGAAGATCAAGGCAATGAAAAGATTATCGTATTAGGCTGATGAACAGCCCAGAGAAACAGCCCCAAGCATGCAAATTTTCTTCCCAGTGTTGCTGTCATTGAATTGAAGTTTCTGTTCACCAGAAGAAGGATTGGCTGAAAGCAAAACTAACAAAGCAAAATGAAGCCACGGCATCATTACTTACATGTTTTCCATTTAGGCGAGTAGATTATTCTACAGAACAATTAGTCTAAACAACAAACCCAGGCTGCATTCAGGGATGACCAATCATGTCATCTCTAATGCCAAGTCTCTCTTTAAAAAAAAAAAAAATTAAAATCCATTTTACTAATCCCAAACCTAACTTTGAAATGCACAAGTATACGGTAATATGTTCTGTTCCAGTGCAGAGCACATGGACAAATTCCTTCGCAGGGATCAGAAGAGAATTTAATTCTTGTTAAGTCTCAGCTCCATGTACCACAGAGTCAGAAAGCAACAAGTTCATAGACTAAACCATGTATACCAACAATAATGTATACTGAGCTGTCCGAAAGTACACTCCCAAAGCCTAAAGCATCCAACCAATAAAATTTTGTTAAAATCTCACATTTACTCTTAAAAATCCAAGTAAATCTTATATTCTATGCCACAATAAATTTCCTTTTTAAAGAATGTTTTGAGTCAATTACCAGCTAATTACTAAACCTTTTCCCTAAAATCTTTGAATAAAAAAGAGATATCAGTCCCTGGCCAGTCACCACACATCATCAAGGGTAACATGTATCTCAGTTTGAGGAGCTACAGGTCACAAGAGAGGGAAGATGGTACCACTCCAGCCATCACATCCATTTTAACATTGGCCTTTCATCAAGATCAAACTTTAATTCAGAACAGCTTCCTAAAGGGTACAGAAAGGAGAAGTCTGGGTTTGCAAGGGGTGTAGCCCATCATTTTGGCCCCTCCAGCCCTACCTAGAAGGGCCAGCAGCTAAGGTACTTGACTCCTAGCTCCACACAAGCCGCCTCTGGCCACTCACCCGTATCCGGCGCATGGCAGCCACGATCTCCACCCTGCTGTTGGGCCTCGGCACGTCCAGGCTTCCTACGTACTGTGGGGGAGAAGCAAACACTCATTGAGAGGAGGGGTAGCAAGTGTCCCTAATCCCAGAAAGTTCCAAAGGGTGAAGGACCAGCTCTTCCGCCCATTTTACAGATGAAGAAATTAAGAGTCAGAAGGCTGTTTTGTTTTGAGTCTGTTTCTAACTTTATAAAAAGCAACTTAATCAGAAATTAACTGCTTCCTTCTTCATCTTACTCTTAACCAGAGATCCAGCAGAGCACTGTATCTAACCAAGCAGACTTCCAAGTCAGAAAGCCTTGGGTGTGAAGACTCTTCTACCACTATTTTTATGGCAAGGCAATTCACTTTTTTGGTCTCAATTTCCTCAACTGTAAAATTGGATCTCAATAAAGATCAAACAGAATAAAATGTCCCACACAAAAGTGACTGGCAAGTATTAGTGCACTCAAAAAAAAATGAACATATACCTTTTTTAACCAGTGGAACTGCACTGATTTAGCCCTAGATGTTAGATACCTGACACATTTGATTAAGTTCCCAACTGGAGGAAAGAAATTGACTAATTTTTTTTTTTTTTTTTTAATTTTTTTTGAGACAGAGTCTTGCTCTGTCGCCCAGGCTGGAGTGCCGTGGTGCGATCTCGGCTCACTGCACTCGCGGGTTCAGCAATTCTCCTGCCTCAGCCTCCCTAGCAGCTGGGACTACAGGCATGTACCACCACACCCAGCTAATTGTTTTTTGTATTTTTAGTAAAGATGGGGTTTCATTATATTGGCTAGGCTGGTCTCAAACTCCCAAATTCATGATCCACCCTGCCTCAGCCTCCCAAAGTGCTGGGATTACAAGCTTGAGCCACTGCGCCTGGCCTTAAAATTTTTTATTATACTTATAAGTTATTTTAAAATCAATTTGAATATGACGATGAATGCTTAATATGAGTACTTTCTTACTGTAAGCTATTCAAATAATGCAGAAATATGCAGCACAAAAGAATATAGTCCCCACTGTAACAGTTGATGTACATCTTTCTTTGTGTACTGATGGATATATATTCACAGATGGGGGGAATTTGTTTTATGTAAAGATTCGTATTACATTGTTCTGCATCTTGGTTTTTTGACTTTAAATACAAGTAGGGCATCTCTCTATGCCAATGAATACAGGACTATTACATTACACATAATGGACACGCCCACTGACGGACTTGCTATGTCACTATTACAAATTATGCTTTTCATCTATACGAGTTTGAGCCCATCCCAGTAGCTCTTTAGGCTGGATTCCTACAAGTGAGATTGCTGGATCAAAAGTATACTCTTGGCTGGGCATCATGGCTCATGCCTATAATTCCAGATCTTTGGGAGGCTGAGGCAGGCAGATCACTTGAGGTCAGGAGTTCGAGACCAGCCTGGCCAACATGATGAAACTCCATGTCTATAAATACAAAAATTAGCTAGGCGTGGTGGCATGTACCTGTAATTCCAGCTACTTAGGACGCTGAGGCATGAGAATTGCTTGAAACCAGGAGGTGGAGGTTGCACTGAGCTGAGATCATGCCACGGCACTCCAGCCCAGGTGACAGAGTGAGACTCTGTTTCAAAAAATAAAAATCAAAAAGGTATAATCTCTAGATAACATTCCTTATAAGAATGAAAGAAGAAAAGAGGAGGACAACCCAACATCGATTCATTGATTAAGCATCTGTGACATAAATTCCTTCATATATCGTCCCATTGCACACTGACCCATTGGGATTTGCCTTATTATACATAAATTACATAAAACAGCCCAAGGGATATACCAGAAATTAAGAGCCTAGAATAACTTAAATGTCTATCCAGGCAAGGATTCCATTAATGAATGAAGATAAGACTAGGACAGTCATCTGCACGGGAAAAGAATGTCCTGTGGTTAACGGGAAAAGCAAGTTTTTCCCGAAATTTGGAGCTGAGGCCTGACCCCAGTGAGTAGGGTTTCAAAAACTAAATACTGCAAAGGGATTTCCCCTAGTATTGATCAACAGTTTGTGCTAATACACTGAAGAACACAACGGGCAAGCAGTGAGCACACTGCATTTTGGCCCCCAGGGCACAGCCCACCATGGCCAATGGGGGGCAACACAGCTACTGAAGAACCTTACAACTCGCTGAGGCAAACAAAACCACTTAGATCGACTAGCGTGGTCAGATTTAACTGTGGTTGCATTTTTTGCCCTGAGCTCTGCTGGTGCCATGCAGTCTGTCAACAGGTCAGTGACCCACAGCTAAGGATGACGTGAGGCCCAGATTCGTGATTGCCCAACTTCACAGTCCCCCTGACCGGAGGCAGTTCCCATGCCCCCTCCTCTCCTCGATGCTGCACAGCTGATGGCTCCTGCCCTGAACGCCGTGTAGTCAGGAACACACAGGCCTTGAGGGGCTCATGTTCCCTCAGCCATCACATGAGAGCTGGGGCCACAGGACTGAGCAAGGTCACCTATCACAAGGAGCCTGGGGGACTGTACAGTCCTCCCACTGAATCCCTGCAGACCAGGAAAGGGGCGGCTGCCCAGTGGACCCACCATTGGGCCTGAACACAAATACCTAGATGGGATTCATCCCCACTCTGTTACCCTGACCCTGGCCCGTTGCTCCCTCCTTAGGAAGTGGCATTGGTGGACTGAGAAAGCCAAAGGAAACATGGGGCACAGGGAGGACAGAGGCAATGCAGGTGGAAAGAAGAGGCAGCTTCATAGTTTTGGACAAGGCTTCCAAATAAGGGGCTCACATTAAGATATCTGCCATCTTCACCCCACAAGTACCTCCTTCACTACGTCAGCCACTACCCCAGCTGGTATGTGTGTGTACATGCACCACACACCTTCACACACAGTCACGGTGCACATGTACATGCACACCTCACAGGACACACACTTGCTTCACCCCACATCCCCACTAACCCATCACACTCACACCACACACTCATTAGCTCTTCTTCCCTCCTTCCCATTCATGCAAAGAAAATCACTAATCTAAATACCTAGGAATTAGCTTAATCAAAGAAGTGAAAGATCTCTACAATAAAAACTATAAAATGTTGATGAAAGAAATTGAAGAGGACACAAAATAATGGAAAGATAATCCATGTTTATGGATTGGAAGAGTCACTATTGTTAAAATGTCTATACCACCAAAGCAATCTATGATTCAATACAATCCCTATCAAAATACCAATAACACCTTCACAGAAATAGAAAAACAATCCTAAAATTTGGAGCCATAAAAGACCCAGAATAGCCAAAGTTATTCTGAGCAAAAAGAACACAACTGAAGGAATCACATTACTTGACTTCAAATTATGCTACAGAACTATAGTAACCAAAACAGCTTGGTGCTGGCATGAAAACAGACACATAGACCAATGGAACAGAATGAGGAACCCAGAAACAAATCCATACATCTACTGTGAACTCATTTTCGACAAAGATGCCAAGAACATACATTGGGAAAAGAACAGTCTCTTCAATAAGGGGTGCTGGGAAAACTCGCTATCCATATGCAGAAGAGTAAAAGTAGACTCCTATCTCTCAGCATATATAAAAATCAAATCCAAATGAATTAAAGACTTAAATTTCACCCTCACACTATGAAACTACTAAAAGAAAACACTGAGGAAACTCTTCAGGACATTAGACTGGGCAAATATTTATTGAGTAATACCCCATGAGCATAAGCAACCAAAGCAAAACTGGATAAATGGGATCACATCAGGTTGAAAAAGTTTCTGCACAGCAAAGGAAACAATCAACAAAGTGAAGAGACAACCCACAGAATGGGAGAAAAAAATTGCAAACTTTGTATCTGACAAGGGATTAATAACCAGCATATATAAGGAGTTCAAACAACTCTGTAGGAAAAAAATCTAATAATCTGATTTCAATATGGGTGAAATATCTGAATAGACATTCCCCAAAAGAAAACACACAAATGGCAAACAGGTACCTGAAAAGGTGCTCAACATCATTATCAGAGAAATGCAAATCAAAACTACAATGAGATATCTTTCACCCCAGTTAAAATGGCTTTTATCCAAAAGACAGGCAATAACAAATGCTGGAAAGGATGTGGAGAAAAGAGAACCCTCACACACTATCAATGGGAATGTAAATTAGTACAACCACTATGGAGAACAGTTTGGAGGTTCCTCAAAAAAACAAAAATAGAGCTACTATATGATCCAACAATCCCCCTGCTAGGATACCCAAAAGAAAGGAAATCAGCATATCGAAGAGATATCTGCACTCCCAGATTATTGCAGCACTATTCACAATAGCCAAGATTTAGAAGCAGCCCTAAGTGTCCCTCAACAGACAAATGAATAAAGAAAATGTAGTACAATGGAGTACTATTCAGCCATGAAAAAGCATGAGATCCTATCATTTGCAATAACATGGATGGAAATGGAGGTTAGTGAAATAAGCCAGGCACAGAAAGACAAACCTCACATGTTCTAACTTATTTGTGGGAGCTAAAAATTAAAACAATTGAGCTCAAGGAAATAGAGAGTAGAACGATGTTTACCAGTGGGTGGGAAGGGTAGCTGCTGGGGGAGGGAAGGATGGTTAATGAGTACAAAAATATAATTAGGTAGAATGAATAAGATCTGGTATTTGATAGCACAACAGGATGATGACAGTCAACAATAACTTATTGTACATTTAAAAATAACTAAAAGAGTATAATTGGATTATTTGTAACATAAAGAAAGGATACATGCTTAAGGTGATGGATATCCCATTTACTCTGATGTGACTATTATGCATTACATGCCTGTATCAAAATCTCATGTGCCCCATAAACCTATATACTTACTATGTGCCCACAAAAATTAAAAAACAAATTTTTAAATAAAATATTTTTTAAAAAAGAAAATCACTAATCTGCCTTTCAGAGAATGCATCTGGAATAAATAACCTGTTTTCGCTATAGCTGCACCTCAGGGTCATCCAGAGAGATTAAAACGATATTCAAAGTAGGATTCAGGTCCTCATCTCCCAGGGTGTGATATGTTAATACTTTCTTTATACATATGACACCACAATGAAAAGAGCACCTTGGGAACTAACCATCACCACCTCCACAACTAACTTCTGTCTGTCCCTGAGTTTTCATCTTGAGCAAAGTGTAAGACACCAGCCACACTTGCTGGGGGGTGGCCCTTATAACTGCTCAGCTTCGAGCAATTCTGCAGTAAACTGAACTCAGGCAGCACACTCCCACTGTTGACTGGAAGGTTAGCTCAGTAGGTAGATGAGGTTCAGGCCTAGGAGTCAACAACCTTTGGAGATCCAGGCTCTGTCAATTCCTACAGGGGTCAGGCAAAACCAATTCCTGTCTTCAGTCAAAGACTGATACATTGGTGACAGGTGATCACTCTGAAATAGAACTCCTTTTATCTGTCTCTTCTGCACGGTGCAGGCTTCCACAGCTTCCCAGAACAAGACAGCTAGGTTGGCCTGATGCCTGGGAATTGGAGGAATATATTTCAAAATGGAAACACACTTTCTTTCCCTCCTTCCCCCATGTTCCTCCTCTAGCCTTCCTCATTCTGATTTGTAGTCCCCAGGAAATCCACCAGTTTTTCAAGCATTAAGCTTGAGAATCATCCCTGAATATGATTCTCCCTTATCCATCACAGCTAATCAGTGACCAGGACCTCCCAATTCTCTCCCCTCCACCTCTCTGTCTACACTGCCACTACGCCACCCCAGAAGACCTTCCTCTCTCACTTTGTCTACACAATGGCCTCCTTACTGGTTTCTCCACTGCCCACATGGCCCTCTCCAAACTGTTCTCCATGAGGCTGTCAGAGTGATCTCTTTACAAAGCAAATTGGGTCATCTTATTCCCTTCTTTAAGAACCTCCCACACTTGCTTCCATTTGCTCTAAAGATGGCAATCAAAATCCTCAGCATGGCCTACATAGCCACATGATCCAGCTTCATCTCACACCAGTGGCCTTGCCAATTATTCAGAAGTTCCTCAATCATAGCCTGTCTTCTCACATTCAAGGGCACCTACACATGCTCCTCCCTGTGCACAGAACACTCTTCTACCCACTCGTCACCTAACCTTCCAACACTCATGATCCTGTAGATTTCTACTTCATCTCTACTTCCCCTTTCTTGACACCCAGGGTAGGTGAGATGCCCTTAGCAGGGACTCCCATAGCTCCCTGAAATTCTCCTGTCTAGAGCACACAGCTAAAAGACATTGTAGTCATCACTGGCTGGCTGTGCTTCCCACAGGTCCAGCGCACAGGGGATGCTCAAAACACAACTGACAGTGGAATCCTTCAAGAATGAACACAGATTCACCCCAAGTGCCCGTGGGAGAATCTCCCCTCTGAGGAGCATCCTGAGTCCTGGATTCTGCCTGGCGTTCCAGCATCTGAGGCATCAGCCTGCTCCTTCCAGCCCCCCATTCCGCCCTGTATAGTCCCACAGTAAAACTTACTTGACTTTTATCCAGGTGCTTCAGCTGGACCTAAGCCAGATGCTCTTACAGTAGCACATGCAATTTCTGGTTTATTGAGAGGGATGGTATGTTAAATCTTCCTGCTGGTGGATTTTTAATCACCTGACCTTCTGTAAGACTCTGTAGCATTCCTGCATCTCCCCTTCCAGGAATCCCTGCTGTGAGACATCAGACAGGGCCTCTATTCAGAACACTGACCACAGAGCTTAAGGGGAAATAAGGTAAAGGAGTTTAAAAATATCAGGGCCTGCTTCTTTTCCATTAACATCTAGAAAGAAAAAAATATTGAAGATGCAAACTGTATAGGTAATCAAGATATGGGGTTATCTGTAGCTGTGCTCTCTGTGGCTGCATCTTCCAGACAAGCAGGAGCTAACTGCAAATAAAGTTAACTGAAGGACTTCAAATTTTTATAAGCCTCTGTGCAACCTCAGCCTCAGTACTAAGTTAATATTTCATAAAGTGCTTTCATTTTCTTGCTTCCATCCTATTTTCTGGAGATTAGCTTCTGAAGACACAGAGAAACTGTACTGTTGTGCCCCCAGTACATGAATCATGATATGAAAAGTAGCAAGACAGCACAGCTTCATATATTCAGCAATATAATCACCATCTATAGACTTGTTAGACCCTCTGCCATCACCTTCCTCTGGAAACTCCCTTTAGTCATAATGTTTATGTTGGGTGCTTCCAGAGACAAGGGAAAAATGAATATATCAATCAAAAATAAATGCATCAGATTATTCTGCTTCTGATAAAGTTAGAGTACTTAGTATCAGACTAAGCCTCCCACAAGTAACAAATAGGAACTCTGAACAAGGTATATAAAAAATAGCTCTGCATAGAATGTAGGACACAAAAAGTGAACCACAATATAAACTGTGAATGTTAGTTCATAATAATGTACCAATATTGGCTCATCAATTGTAACTAAAGTACTACACCAATGCAAGACGTGAATATAGGGAAGTTGGGAAGGAAGGGAATATATGAAAACTCTGGCCTTGCCTCTCAATTTTTCTGTAAACCTAAAACTTCTCTAAAAAATAAAGTCTATTGTTTAAGATCACAGTAGTAACTTGGAAAGCCCTGGAAAGAGACCAAAAACAGGCAGAGATTACGGGAAGTCAAGCTTTGAAAGAAGGGAACTGTTCTTGGTGAGGCCTGGGTGTGTGGCATCCTCCTCTGACAGCACAACCCCACAGGCACAGTGCAGGCTGGCTGGAGCTCAGGAAGGAAAGCTCACTCTGGCAGCCTGGGGAGTTGGATACCAGAGATTGCAACAACCGTAGAGCTTAAAGCGAGGGCAGGCAGGAGGGAGTCACAGAGGGGAAGCCTCCAAAACCCCAGCCATGTCTTCAGGACCCCAACTGTACAATGTGCTCAGAAAACTCCAAGAAAGCCAGCAGAAGGGGGCAGTTGGAAGAACAAGAAAATCGAGTGGAGATTTTAACTGCTGCCCACCTAATCTGCCCAAATCAGGGGAGGTAGATTTAGGATTTAAGACCAGCCAAGTCAACTATTATTAAGAAGAAGAAAACATGCTTCAGAAGAGGCTAGCAGAATCTTCTATTGTGGGTCTGTTAAAACCCCACTGACTAGCTAGTGCAGGCAAGGCCACAGCAAAGGACAGGTTCCCCAGAAACAGACATAATGTAAAGGTCCCCACCTCTGCTGTACTCTCAGCTCTCATCTCCTCTTTGAAGCTGCTAGTCTACAGCAGCCCACAGCATATACCATGTGAGTTTCAGGGGTAACTCCGTTTTTTACAGAGGACAATGGGGCCC